CAGGTGGGAGTGCCCTGGCCGCATGCCCAGAGAACCCAGTGAGAGTGGGCACCCTTCCTATGCTTCCGTGATGTTAACAGGAGGAGGCTGCTTGACCCCAGAGACAGCAGCATCCTGCAGATGGGACATGTGGACAGGCTCAGCTGGCCAGACTAGCGACCCCCACCCCGGCCCCACCACGCCTGGCCCCCGCTGCAGGGCTTCACAGTGTCCACTGTGCCTCTCCAGGGCACCTGACCTGGCCCGGCCTCCTCCTGAGCCTTTGAGCAGTCAGGCCCAGCTCCCAGCCTGACCTCAGCAGCTCTGATCCCAAGACAGCAGCCTGGGCGGGCACTCGTTTGGTCACTATGCTGGGCCATCTGGAGCTGAGCAAGGAACCCTGGGGACTCATCAGAGGGTAGGCTTCTTCCTTGGCAGATTTCTCAGCTGGTTCAGTCTCGCCCTCCGCTTTTTCATGGGACATTTTCTAACCAGAACATGCAAACCAGTGTGTTTCTTGGAATTTCAGCTGTTGGCGGAATATCATGCAGAGGCCAGGAGATGAAGCATGAAGTCCATAAACTCCCTTGAGTGGTCTAGGGTAACTGGACTCCCTCCAGCTGCTCGGGAGGTTCTCAGCCCAGGGCAGCCTGTTGTGGCCATCTGTCGTGGCCACAGGGACGTGGCTGGTGGCTTGGCCTTTCTGAGACTCCCCACTCCCACTTGGGCGGTATGGCCTCAGGGACTTTTGCAGCTGGATTCTCTGCCTCCCGACTCTTGGGCATGGTGTGTTGTGTGCTTGGCACGGCTGGGTGGAGGCATCCTGCCTGGTCTGGACTGGCAGGGGCAGCCGTAGGCAGGGCTGAGCAAGTGTGGTGGCCTGGCGACCTCAGTGCTTCGGTAGGGGCAGTTTTGCAAAAGTCCACACGAGAAACGGCAACGTTGCTAACACAGACTTGGGCCCCTCGTAAGCCTCCCCTTGAGCGGGACCTCCTGGTGTGTCACGGTCCAGCCCATCAGCTCATACAGAGACAGTCTGGCAGGCCCTCTTAGAGCCTTTCCCGAACTAATGTATGTAGGGACTCTACAGGGAAGGGGAGAAGTATCCCCACACTGTCCGACCAGAGAGTGCCCCTCTTCTTTTCTGCAGGGCTTGTCTGGGGCAAGGGTCTCGGGACGTCCTTGGGAAACACAGCTGAGCCGGCTGGAGGGAGCCAGGCGAGCCTTAGCTTAGACTTTAAGTAGAAAGCCAGACTTCAGAATCTCCTAGCTCATTTTTCCGTGATTCCCAGAATGGCGAGGAGCAGGTACAAGTCCCACTTCTGGGAGGGAGGGCGGGCCAGCGGCTCTGGGCTTCCTGCCGCCTTGACCAGTGGGGGTGGGCGGCAGCAGTCCTCCCGGGATGGGGTCCCCACGGCTGCAGCTTTGACAAGCTGTGGCTGAGCCCCGGCGGGCATAGCGGCCGGCAGCATTGAAGATGGGCGTCCTCTGGTGGCCATCGTGACGTTCCTTCCCTGGGCAGCACACAGGGAGTTCACAGCAGGTCCGGGGTCCGCACTGTCCTTGCCTGTGGGTTGTGACCAGTGCCTGCTCTTGGCTCGTGGGCTCCTCGAGCCCCCGCCCCCTTCAGGAGCAGCTCACCTGTCACCCCCGGAGACGCTTCCTCCTCCCTTCTTTCTTGCGTCAGTCAGTACTGGTTGGGCGAGGGTAAGGGGGCTGGGCACCCCTGAGGCCGGAGGAAGAGCTCCTTGGAGCCTGTCTGGTGGGGGTGAAGCATTCTCACTTGGGTTGAACTGGCTAGTGTGGCTCTTATAAGTTCAGCTGTGCCCAGGACCTTATAGAAGTAGCCTCAGTTACTGAGCTGAGCTGAGCTCATGGCTTCCGACTTCCCACTTTGGGACCTCTGAAAATGACCGAGTCTCACGGTCACTGAACCTGTACTTGCTGGTACAGGACTTGGGTGATGTCCCCCAGGAGTATTCTGTATTACACATGTTAAAGGTAAACTTAACTTTTTGGTGAGGACACCTTGAGACTACATTTCTCAAGATTAAGTGGCCTTCGAGACGCCAGTCCTTTACCGCCACTACCCCCACTACCAAAGAAACAACAGAAACCGAGCAGAACCCCAGACCTTACAGTATAGGGTCCTCAGAGCACTTCATGAATGTATGTAGGGCTCTCCAGGAGCGGGGAGAAAACAGTTTCCCCAGGCTCATCCGACTGAGAAACCCCCTTTTCTGTAGAGCTTATCCGGGGATAAAAGGTGCCTAGGGAAATGCACCTTTTGGGGGGCAGTTTTTCTCTAGGGGATAGAAAAATGTTTAAAATTTTGCAACACTGAAAATATAACTCTAAAATTGGTCTTGGGGCGTCTTTTTTTTGAGTTGGAGTCTCTCTCTTGCGCAAGCTGAAGTGCAGTGGCATGCTCACAGCTATTGCAGTCTCAACCTTTTGGGCTGAGGCCATCCACCTCAGCCTTCTGAGTAGCTGGAAATACAGGCATGCGCCACCACTCCTGGCTAATTTTTTGACTTATTGTAGAGATGAGGCCTCGCCAAGTTGCCTGGGCTGGTCTTGAGCCCCTGGACTCGGGCAGTCCTCTTGCCTCGGCCTCCCAAAGTGCTGGGGGTACAGGCTTGAGCCACCACGCCTGGCCTGGGGTCTTGTCTGAAGAGATGCAAGACTTTTAATAGAATCCTGGCATTTGCTGCTCAGTGCTCCTTCCTTTCGTAAGAGCAAACACGTGGCAGCTTGTGGCAGCTGGATGAGCTTGCTTTTGTTAGCTGAAGAAGACGTTTTCAACTGTTTTCTTTTCCCCTTTTCCTTTGAATTTTATATGCAGCGATTACATAGCAGCGATTGGCCATCCCCTCCATGAATGGGCACCTGCAGGACTTTCTTGGGGCTCTCTAGGCTGGGAAAGTGGGACTGTCTCTTCAGCCACTGTCACTCACCAGGTGTCCCTGTGTCATTTGTGAGCCACTGGTGGTTCTTGTGTGCAAGGGACTTCCCAGCCCTCCTCTCTCTTCCCAGAGTCGGGGTGCTGGAGGACTGCTTCACCTTCCTGGGCATCTTCTTGGCCATCATCTTTTTCCCCTTCGGGTTCATCTGCTGTTTCGCCTTGAGGAAGCGAAGATGCCCCAACTGTGGAGCAACCTTTGCCTAAAGGGAACAACACGCCTGGCTTTCCTACATCCAGCTCTTTTCTAATGTAAATGTCGTGTACAATAGTTTTATTTGATTACGCTTCAGGACTGTTTTGTAAAGTGAAGTGGGAAGGAGAGGTGGCACTGCTGCCCCCATGGTCAGTGACAACTCAATAAAGCACTGCTTTTATTTTATTGCAGTCTTCGATTTGAGAAAGGTGAGAAATAATGTTTTCAATAAATGAGATTCATACCATTGTTGACCTGGTTCTGCTTATTGGGTGTTTGCACACAGCCACTTCAGTAAGGTTCTGTTATGGAAGATTCTAGCACACAGTGAAGACTGGAGGAACGTCCCCACAGCCAGCTTCAACACCCAGTCACAGTCATCTCGCATTATTCCAAATGCACAGCTCAAGGAAATATGCTTGCTTTCCAGTTCTCCTTTATTATCACAATTAAACACAATACCTTGGCATTTACAGAGCATGCACCTCGGCACCAAGGACAAGGCCAGTCTTCCCCTCCTTTGTGAGCAGGTAGTGAGTCCGGTGGTTCCGGTCTGTGAGGTGGAACCTGGGGTTGGGTGAGCAAAGGGGGCCTGCGGATTACATCTGTGGATCCTAGGTCCTATTCCACCCTGGAACAATGCCACACTGAGCACTAACGGCCAGGGTGCCCTCGTAACACACTTTTAAAACCCACACTTTGTTCCCTCCTGACTGCTCCAAGGATGGGCTTCTGTAGCCCTGCTGTGACTCCACTGAAGTGGGAGGTGCAGTGGGTCAGAGCTCCAGCCGAATGAGCGTTCTTTCCTGGCTGCAGCACCTTCTGTGGGACCAGGCCTGGTGGTGGTGTGGAGGGTGTTAACATAGTCCTGCACCAGCAACCTTCATGGGGAATGCCTGGTTTGTCCTCCCAGAAGAGGCAGGCGTGACATTGCTTGACACAGCTAGGAGGAGTCTGAAGTGTCACCCACGTGCAGTGGTCTACCTGCATTTGACCTTGACCAATTTCAAGCTTACAGGAAAATGGTATATTTCTGGAGAGACCAAGGAGCCATGATAAACAACAGCTCCAGTGCCCCCGACACAGTGAATGACCTGGCTGTGAATTTTCACCATGACCCTCTGTGCCAAAATAGGTCCAAATTACAGGCAGCCAGAGAAATTCCAGCCACAGGCTCAGGGTTGCCAGTGCAGATGCCTGATGTCAGGGCTGAAGGCCCAGACCTGAGAGAGTGGTGGCAGCTAGGCTGAAAGACCCTCCCCCTCCAACCAACAGGAGGCACACTGGCTTTAGATGCAACCTTTTGTGGGTCAGTACCTGATTCAAACACAGAGAAACTGGGACCCCAAGAAGGTTCCAGGTAAATTAGTAATGGATGCAGCTTTGGTCAACTAGCTTAGTGAAAGCACCTGGGGCCTCAACACAAGGCCCTCAGGCGCCTGTTTCCGATGTACCTGGCCTCTGTCCTAGATGGGCTGCAGCAAGTTCGGTCAGTGACTCCCGACTACCAAGTTCAGTAGCTCTTAGAGGTTATTTTAAAAGTGCTAAATATGGCTGTGATAAGGGTAAGCAAAATGTCTCAGCACTCTATAGCTCTGTTGAAATCGGAGCAGGGATGGGGCTCTTCATGTCAGGTAGGTTTACATTTGATTAAACAAAAGTTGAAAAATTTTAAGTTAAAATTATTACTTTTTTATATTTTCATAATTTATATTGCTTAAAATTATGGTTTGCATGCTGAGATGCAACATATACAATATTTTCTTTAGATAACATCATAACGCTACTTAAGACACATGCTTTATAAAATAAAACTGCAGTCTCGTTTGCATTCAGGTGCAGAAAGCCAGTCACAAAAGCACAGACTATCCCTGGCTTTTATTCAGAAAAAAATTCATAGAATAAAAGATAAAGACTGGAACCAAATTTACTGTTTTTTGGACAGAATAGGAAGAACATATTTTAAATGAGTCGCTCACTAAACTATTATTTATTTATCTTGAAGACAGAAATGTGTAAACCCAACTGTTAAATTGAGAAAATGCGTTGATTTGCTGGAGCAGGATACATTTAAAATCAGGCACCTTCTGGTGAAGCCGTACAGCAGTCACAGCACATATCAAACGGTGTAACCTATCATTGTGCCAGTGAGAACTTAGTGTGAGAGGAACCAGGAGAATTCTTGGCTGTCTTCTCATCGAATGATTGGTGCTGATCGATCATTTGTCACTGTCGGTCGGAGTTTCACAGTAGCAAAAGGGTTTTCTCCGCTGTAGGGAGAAAAAAAAATCTCTGCAGAAATGCTGCTCCGAGACAGAAATTTGATTTTAAAAGCGCTGATAACCACTGTTCTTGCTCTGAGACAACACCGCTCACCACCTCCCCACTGTGTTCAGATCCAACCACGTTTGCTGAATGTGAACATTTTGCTCGGCGGGGATTCCCTCCATGCCACCTACTACAGAACAATCCAAGATTTAAATGTTTTGGACACAAGAACCCACTCTGCTTCAGTCCTATATGGGAGTCCTATGAGGGCCGCTCTGGGATGGGTTGGCCCTTCAGGCCCTAATGCCCAGGACAGGCTAAAAGTGGGCGGTGATGGGAGCAGGTAGCTGCAGGCCCAAGGCTTTTCTTGATGGGCCTCCAGGGCTGGACACAAAAGGCCCTTCCGGGGATGCTACAGGTCACTCATTCAGGGAAAAGCAACACCGTGTGCTGAAGAGCTTCATTTAGGAAGTGACACCTACCTGAGGAAAGGCGGCTTTGCAGTCCCATTGGCATCACTCTGAGAAAGACAAAGAGGACGGTTCTAAGCCATGCATGTTTAAAAGCGCCCTGGCACCTCGATTCATTTGAAACTTCCCAGATTTACTTGAAAGAATAAGGGCACAAACAGAAAACCTTCTGGAAGGCAGTGAGGGTCCTTCCCAAGTGTCAGAACCTGGAAGGGAGCATGCCACCACCTGCGGTCAGCACGTGATGTCAAGAGCTCATGCATAAATAAACCTGTCTCCTAAACATGGTAACTCAGATTTCACAAAATCTGAGCAGCTGCGCTATGTTACAGAAGAAAACATGTACACCAAACGGAATCTCTCACTTGACCTTCAAGTGCACAGTGGTGGTGACTGGTTTGCTTTTTGGGAGCTGAATTCCGAATGATGGACAAGAAAAAACGGTAAGTAAAATCTTGCTGGTTTGGGGGATTGGTGCTGGCTGCTCGAGCCAGGGTTCTTTCAGGAAGCTCAAAAAGCGAGGAAAAGAACATGGAACCAAAGTGGAAATGACATCTGCATTCAGGAACCGCCCTAGCCCTCAGCTGCCCTGCCTGGGCCTCCAGCTCCCAGGGATGCACGGAAGGTGGTCCACAGAGCTCACGGGACCACCTCCTTCCAGCACGCTGCCACTCAGTGCTGGTCAGGGGCCAGATGTGTGTCCCTCCCTTCCTCTGTTCCAAAAGGCTTGCAGGATTTACAGTCATTCCTGCTGTTCTAAGAAATCGCAGCCAGAGCACGTGGACCTGAGTCAGGTGGCTGCCCAGGAGAGGGCAGTGTAACACCGTCTGACCAACCTGCCTGCCACACCACAGTGTCCTGACATGCCAGAAAGCCTCCCAGGGCTCCTCGTAGTTAGGGGCACACGCAGACTTCTGAACGCTTGCTTAGATGAGCTCCTCATATTCCCAGTGCCAGCCTGAGGGTGCAGGCCGTTACTAGACTCCTGTAGGACGGCCCCTACTGCATCTTGGGGGTGTACAGACTATGGGCTGGGGGCCCCGGAGCTGTGACCTCAAATCCGTCCCACCCTCCCCAGATTCCCTGGGCAGCACAGTCTCAGGGCAGCGCAGGGCGATTCAGCATCTACTTTTCGTCACTGAAGCACAAAGTCACTGCCCCACTTAGCATATCCTGCAGGGCTTTAAAGTGCTGCATAAGTGGTTTCTTCTACAGGCATGCTGAGCTTCCTCAGCAGGCCTCAGAATCAGTCCTTTCTTGTGCCACTTTCATCATGTGTGATTACAGGCTAATTTTTGATTTGTTTTAAAATATGCCAGGATGCTTGTTGCATGTGCTCAGGGAGTTAGCCATTAGTAGTGGACTGCCTAGAACAGAAAGCCAGAAGCCACAGCCAGAAGTGGAAAGCCCTCCTATGGCCCAGGGTCAGGTGGAAGGACAGCAGGGCCTGAGGGCACTTCACACCTCAGCAAACGCCCCTCAGCCCTCTGCCTCCCCTTCTCTCTGGAAACTAACTTCTTCTGCCTTGAAACACTAACTGCTTCCCACATGTAGCCTTAAGTTGATAGAAAGTACATCTTGAACTGAAAGCCAGTGATATCCTCTACCTGGGCGTCCTGGCCACAAGCAAACCTGGAGCCTGTTCAGAGCTCCTGGGCCCTGACAGGATTTTAAAATGAAAAGCACAGGAAAAAGCAACCTTTTTCTGCTACCAACTCCTGCCGAGGGGAAAGAGACAGCCTGCAACTACTCAGGTGGTAAACCTTGAGTCCCTGTGCAGGCCAGGGGCCCAGCCATTCTGCTCTCTGTGTGAAAAGGCAGGGCACACACCTGTGGCACCAAGATGCTGCCACAGCGCTTTTGAGCCATGATGGCCCAAACTGTAAACACCCAAACACCCGTCAGCAGGAGAACGAGAAACAGCTCCTGTCCACACAGCGGGACACTATAGCAATACCTGTCCACTGGAGTTGAACCTTAGGGAGGGGTTGGTCACTGGGGTGGGCTGTATGGGGAACCTTGGGGGCTGGGAACATTTTGTTTCTTGATCTGCTGCTGGGAATTTGGAGTCGCTTTGTGAAAATTCATGCACTTTTCTGTATGTGACATTCTTTATAAAATGCTTACTTAAAAGAAGTGCAGGACCTGCTCGGACAGATTTCCCTTTCACACCTGCATGTTCCTCGGGGATCTGAGACCTCAGTGCTCCTTCCCCACACAGGGGCAGCATCCCTCTCCCACGCCCTCTGACTCTAGACCAGCACGTGCTGTGACCCTGCACTTGTGGCAGCTTTATCCAGTGACCTCAAAGGACCTCTGTGACATTCTCTTAGTGTCCCTGTCTCAGCCACGGATCTCCCACTTAGCCCACTGCCGTGGCCACAACTGACCAATGTCCCCAGACCTGGCCTCCTCCCCGCTCCCTCCCTCGTCTCCAGGCCAGAGGCCTGCACTGTCCTGGGTACCCAAGGCCCACCAGGCACCGCCTGTGCACATTCTTCTCTGTACCTAATAAGACAGGAGATCATCTCAAGGCCACCAAGCAGGCGCCCAAGAGGCCAGGCAGGCCACCACGAGAGTGGAATGGGCTGCCTAAGACAGGAGTGATGGCAGACAACTACCAAGTAAGTCCCTGACTATTGCCAAGCAGGAACAGAGGGGGGGGAAGGGTACATTCTTTGTGAGTCCCCCCCCGATAACCCCCAAATCTCAAATACTTTGTGTGGACATTTGCTGACCTCCTTTTACCAGGTGTCCCATCCTCTCCCCCTTCCCGTACAGATTCTTATGGGTGTCTACCGCACAGACAGGTACCCTGGGGGGACGACTTGGTGCAGGAAAAAGGGTTAGCTCAGATCACCAAGCACAGTATGTTCCCAGGCTGCAGGCACTCATGAGCAAGGGACCCCACGGTTCAGTTAGGGTGACATGGGGTCCTCTGAGAATGCCACCTAGGGGCACTCACTGCAGAAGGCAGGGTGGAGTGATGAGATGCCCTGGGTGGCCTTGAGACCTGGCCTCCCTGGACTGCTGGGTGGAAGAGAATGTCCAGCTGGAGGTCAGTTACTAATAATAGAAGGAGCCCTACCTGATCCCTGTCTTCCCTGTAACACCTCATTCCAGTCCTTGTCTGTGGGCCAGCTTGTCTCCCAGTTCACCCTCTGCTCTAGCCCAACCCTTTTATTCTATAAATGGGGACCTGAGGCCTAAATAGGGAAAAGACAACTGCTATGAATCACTGGGATCTTTTTGGAAGCCAAGGAGCCCACGTTGTGACGTAAACAAAGATGCTTGTGGGGCTCAGGGTCATGGCAAACATGCAATTTGAAATGAGGGCTTACTTCCAAGGTTAGGAAGGAACCAAGACTTCCTCAGTTGCAGCTAAGGTAGAGACATATGACCTGTGGCAAGCCCCTGGGCCACCTGGGTAAAAGTTCTTCCTGTCACGGGACAGCCCTGGAGACTCCAGGTAAGTGGGCTCAGGGGATTCTGTGCTATGAAGGATGGCTCCCAGCACACCCGAGCCTCAGTGTTGCAGCGTTTAGAAAAACTACATGTAGCTGGGCTCGGTGGCTCAGCCTGTAATCCCGCGCCTTTGGGAGGCTGAGGCGAGTGGATTGCCTGAGCCCGCGGGTTCGAGACCCACCTGGGCAGCGAGATCTCATCTCTACAATAAATCAAAAAATCAGCCGGACGTGGTAGCGCATGCCTGTAATTCCGGCTACTCAGAAGGCTGAGGCGGAAGGATCGCTGGAGCCCAGCAGGTCGAGGCTGCGGTGGCCGGGAGTGGCCACTGCACTCCAGTCTGGGCGACAGAGTGAGACTCTAACTCAAAAAAAAAAAAAAGTTACAATGCTTTGCCAGCTCTCATGGATCCCAGCATTTGGTCTGAGAAATAACATTTTCCCTAACACCACCAGCTGGATTAAACGTTTTAGTTAAGGAAGGAGAAATTAATTCAGTTGGGTGTAAGAACTCTGATATACACATCCCAGGACGGTGTCTCCAGCCCTTGAGGGGGCCAGAGTTCCCTCTGACCATCACATTATGGATCAGGTGTCTAATGGGACACTGTTCTGCTTATGTGATCTATACTTGACTAACCTATATGGTAGCTGCCAGCTGTATGTGCCTATTTAAATGAAAAGCAATTAAAATTAAAAATATGATCTCTTCATTGTACTTTCTGCTCTTCAAGTGTCCACTTTCCCATGTGCTCAGTGGCTGCTGGTCTAGGCAGGGCGGTTCTGGAAAATTTCTGTCTATCCATGAATTTCCCAATTTTACTGATGAAAGCACTTCTTGTTCTCCCCGCTCCCGACAGGCTTCTTGCTGCTATGGCAAGAGGCTGCCACGGCCAGGTGCCCTGTAAAAAGGCAGTTTACTTGCTCCTGAGTTACCCTCCCTGGAGTAGCCTGATTCTTCCGCACACCTGCCTACACACCCTGGCTGTGTTCCTAGCACTCATGAAATGTAGGAGCCCAACAGAAGGAACAGTGTCAGCAGAGGATGATGTTGGGGACAGAGCTGTGTCCCACTTGCAGTTTGCATGGGATCTTCAACAGCACACAGGTGGCCACAGTGTGTGTCTTACCAGGAAAGAGTGTGCACTTGTGGAGGCACTGATGGCTGCTCTTTGAGATTTTAGAGCTGAATTTTTCAGTTGGCCTTAGAGATGTTGTCATTTTGCTGTGCTGTCCCCTTTCCTCCATTTCCCAATGCCCCTAAATCCATTGACCTCTCCGGATGACTGAGTACAGGCCATACTCAGAAAGGGTGTGAGGGCACTACTGGTTGGAGCCTCACCCCGTCACCGGCACCAACCCCTCGATGGATGGCAGCAGTAAGCAAGGGCTTGCCTAACTCATATAAATGTATTTAACGTGTCCTGAGAAAACGTGATGCTTCCACACTGTAGGGTAGGATGAAGTGGGAGGTTAAAATATCCATCTATATATCTAAAGGCAGACAGACTTTCATATCTCAAAGGAAAGATAATGAAATGTTAACAGCACTTATCCTGGAGGTAAATTTTTAACCAAAATTCTTT